TAACTTAAATCAAAGAAATGCTAAGGAACTTAAAACCAGGAAACAGGTTAGGATTCTGTTCAAATGATAGGTGTATGAACCTATCCATATCTCAAGAGAGGACACAAATCCTTACAACCAGATAACAAAGTTTATAAGAGAATCAGCAATATTTTAGTCAAAAGTCATAAAATTATACTTCACCAATTCAGTCTCATGTGCTTTATCTTCTGTTGTGGTTCAATTTTCCCGATTAAATTCTGGGATATAATATTCAACTCCAGACTTCTCCCTACGATTAAGTTGGCCACTCTCTTAGTTTTTGAACTCTTATTTCTATGTGTCTATATTTAATTTTCCTGATATAGCACTCCCTTGAGAACTTCTTGGAGATCTGGTCTGGTGCTGGTAAATTCTTTCAGGTTTTGTTTATCTGAGAATGTTCTTGACTTTTCTTCCCACATGAAAGATAGTCTTGCCGGGTATAGTATTCTTGGCTGAAATTGCTTTTCTCTTAACACTTTGAATATATTTTCCCATTCTTTCCTCGCTCACATTGTTAAAACAATTCTTTTTAAAAATATCATTTTATTAACTTTTTTCTGTCTTTTTGCTATTTCAGGTGCAAGTGAAAGTGTAGGAAAACATATGCTTGAAGCCTGCAACAATAATCTGGAGATGGCAGTTACTATGTTTTTGGATGGTGGAGGAATCGCTGAAGAGCCCAGTACCAGTTCAGCAAGTGTCTCTACTGTCAGACCACATACAGAGTATGAATTTATTATTTATTGTTAGGAGCTACCCCTTGCTTAAATTTAGTAGTTGCATTTTAATCAAAGTTAGATCAGTTCTCTAGTTTTAAAAAATTTAAATGTTGAAAGTTCCTGAAAAATGATCAGGTATACATTTTATTACTTAGATATTCTAAATTTTGTAGAGCATTGTCATGTCTATTGTTTAATTATCAAAAGAACCATAGGTTCCCTGTGAAGTTTGGGAAGGGAGGCCCATGACAAGGGGGGACTGCTTAACTAAAATTGTTCTGTGACTGAAAGGTGGGACCTCTATACTCTGCAGCTGCCAACTAAATAAATAAAATAAATAAATAATAAATAAATTTATTTTTTAAAAAGGAGGCACAGTCAATGGTGTGCTGGTTAAGGTGGCTAGATCCCACATGGCTGACTGCAATTTGAGTCCTGGACCTGGAGGCTTGAAAACACGCTGGGTGCATGTGTGTTTCTGCCCAAAATCTGGAAAGGGGAAATGGAATAGGAGGAATTGTAGTGTGATCATCCCTCAGTGGGGGTGGAGTTGGGGGGTGCTTTCTCACTTCCTTTTTCTTTTTTTTGGGAGAGGGCACGTGCGCTCGCCAGACAGAGAGAGAGAGACAGAGAGACAGAAAGAGAGAAATCACCCCCTAGAGGGGATGGCCATGCCGCAGTCCCTTCTCCTCCATTCTCCTCTCGGGATCTTGGGCACGCACGCAAACGTGCCCGGCATGAGTTTTAAGCCATCGGGTCCAGGACGCGAACCACAGTCAACCACGTGGGAGTCTAGCGACATAGGCATTACACTAACCATTACGACATAGCCATTACACTAACCATTACGACATAGCCATTATGCTGGTCCCCTCACTTCCTTTTTCTCTTTCTCTCTTCCCTCCCTACCCTGGACACATATGCCCTATAAATAACCTGATAGGATGGCGTTATTTTTGTCATTATTTTATTTTTATTTATTTATTTGCTAGAGGGTGCTTGTACTCAGTAGAGAGAGAGAGACAGAGAGGGAAAGTGAGAAAACACCCCCATGGGTGAAGGTCCTGCCACAATCACTTCTCTCTTCTCCTTTGGTATTTTGGGGACACAGGCACATATGCCTGGTGTGTTTTTTCAGTCTGTTGGAACTGGTACTTAAACCACACACTTGACCATGAGGATCTAGCCGCCTCAACCACCATGCTGTTGACTGGTCTAGAATGCCATTATTGTCCACATTTTATTGATGAGGAAGAATGGGCATATCTGGTTTCCCAAATTATGCAATAATTAAGTAAGGTATGGGAAGTTCATATTTCCTGATTCTAGATTTTCCTACATTGTTTCAGGAAAGTTTTGAGTTGCTATGAAAAAGCTTTCAAAAATAATTTCAATCCTTTATGTCTTTTTAAAAAATATTTTATTGGGACCAGCAGTTAGCATAATGGCTATGTTGCTGGACTCCCATGTAGTTGACGGCGGTTCGAGTCTCGGATCTGATGGCTTAAACTCACCACGCTGGGTGCGTGTGCATGCCTGCCCAAGATCCCAAGAGAAGAATGGAGGAGAAGGGATTGCGGTGTGGCCATCTCCCCGGGGGGGGTGATTTCTCACTTTCTGTCTCTCTGTCTTTCTGGCGAGCACACGCGCCCTATAGCAAAAACCTCTCAAAAAAAATTTTTTTATTAATTTCATTAATTATTATTATTATTATTCAGTTTGACCAGAGAGAGAGGAGAAGTGAGGGAGCAAGCCACCAGGTCTGGAACTCAAACTACAGTAAGCCATGTGGGAGTCCAGCTCCTTAACCACAACGCCACTTGCCAGCCCTAATCCTTTATAACTTAAATAGTTATATGTAGGGATTAGCAGTTGGCATAATGGCTATGTCGCTGGGCTCCCATGTAGTCGGCTGCGGTTTGAGTCCTGGATCCTGTGTCTTAAACTCATGCCGGGCATGTGTGCGTGCATGCCCAAGATCCTGAGAGGAGAATGGAGGAGAAGGGATCGCAGCATGGCCATCCCCCTGGGGGGTGATTTCTTGCTTTCTGTCTCTCTGTCTCTCTTAGTCTTTCTGGCGAGCGCACACGCCCTATAGCAAAAACTTCTAAAAAAAAATTATATGTAGGTAAAATATATCATTAGAAGCATCTTTAGCATATGAACTGGAATATATTGAAAATAGTAAGAACTGGGGCCAGCAGGTGGCGTGGTGGTTAAGTACACTAGACTCCCACATGGCTGACTGGTTTAAGTCCCAGAGCTGGAGACTTGCTTTCTCACTTTCACTCCCTCTGTCTCTGTCTCTCCGATCAAATTAAAATAGTAGTAATAATGATAAATAAAATGAAATAAAATAATTCTTTTTTAAAAATAATTATTTTGTTTAACTTTATTTTAATTTGACCAGAGAGGGCGGAAAAGTGAGAAAGCAAGTTGCCAGGCCTGGGACTTGAACTGCAGTTGGCCATGTGGGAGTCCAATGCCCTTAATCACGACGCCAGTTATCGGCTCCTAAAATAATTACTTAAAAAAAAAAAAGAAAGAAAATAGTAAGAACTGGTGAAGAGATGAAGAGTTTTTTCTGGGGATCAGCAGAGTGTAATGGTTACATTGTTGGAATCCCACATAGCGGACCGCAGTTTGAGTCCTGGACCTGGCTGCTTAAAACTCAGGAGGCCAGGGGAACCAGCAGTTAGCGAGCGTAATGGCTATGTCGCTGGACTCCCACGGAGTCGACTGCGGTTCGTGTCCTGGACCCGGTGGCTTAAAACTCACGCCGGGTGCGTGTGCGTGCGTGCCCAAGATCCCGAGAGGAGAATGGAGGAGAAGGGATTGCGGCGTGACCATCCCCCCTGGGGGGTGATTTCTCTCTTTCTGTCTCTATGTCTCTCTCTGTCTGTCTGGCGAGCGCACGCACCCTACAGTGAAAATCTCTCCAAAAAAAAAAAAAAAAAAAAAAACTCAGGAGGCCAGGAGCGTGTGAATGTGTGCTCAAAATCCCAAGAGGAGAATAGAGGAGAAGGCATTGCACATGGTTATCCCCCCTGGGGGGGGTGATTTCTCACTTTCTGTCTCTCTGGCGAGCACATGTACCCCGTAGCAAAAATCTCTCTTTTAAAAAAAAAAAGTTTTTTCCTTTATATTTGATACTGGTAAGAATTTGAAATAAATATTTGTTTGGTGAAATTCAACAAAATTTGGAAAGATATTAGACATGCATCTTGCTCAAAAGATGATTTTAAAACAAAAAACTTTAAAGTTTCTCAAATGAGACTTTAATATTTAAAACCTTGTTTTTATTATATTTTCTTTAATTTTCTTTTGATAGAGGGCAAATATGCTCTCCAGAGAGGGACAGAGAGGGATAGGAGAAAACACACTGCGTGAGGAATATATGTGTTGCAGTCCCTTTTCCAGCTCTCCCACTTTCAGGATTTAGGGCACATATGCATGCATACCTGGCATATTTCTAGATCTGCTAGGCCCAGAACTTAACTGAGGTTGGCCATATGGGATCTGGCTGCTCTACCAGGCCACAAAACATGCCCTCATAGCATTTTATAACTCTTATTGCTTACCACATGAGTTATTAAGCAGGAAGAGTCTTTTAGAATAGAAATAGACAAAAGATTAAGATTTTATTTTCATTAAAGTAGAAATAAGTTAAAAAGTCAGATCACATACAGGCATAATTGCCTCTTTTGTTAATTTAGTTCCAGGTTATAGAGTAATACTATTTCCACATGAAATGTGAACTTTAGAGATCATTATTAATAAAGACTTTTATCTCTTTCTTTCTAAGATTTTGCTATAGGATGTGTGCACTTGCCATAGGGAGAGAAGGAGAGAGAAAGTGAGAACCTCCTCCCCTTAGGGCTGATAGCCATGCTGCAATCCTTTCTCCTTCATTCTCCTGTCAGCATTTTGGGCACACATGCAAATGCGCCTAATGTGTTTCAAGCCAGGAAGTCTGGAACTCAAACTGAAAAGTCAGCTATATGAGATCCAGCTGCTTTAACCACCACACCACCAGCTGGTTGTGGATTTTTGTCTTTTAATTTAGCCATGTATTTCAACTGATATTCACCGGACTGACAAGCTCCAACTTTGAAAGGAAATCAATATGAAAACATGATATAGTTTATAGAAACTTAAATAGCAGATATCACAATTGATTTGGGAGAATATATTTGTCCTTCCCATTGTAGAAAACATGTATGCTGTTTCTTTTTTAGGTTTTTGCCATAGGGTACATGCACTCACTGGAAAGAGATAGTAAGAGGGAAAATGCGAAATTACCCCCACAGGGGGATGGCTACACTGCAATCCCTTTTCTTCCATTCTTCTCCTGGGATTTTGGACATACACACACACACATTCAGTGTGATTTTCAAGCCACCAGGTCTGGGACACAAGCCATAGTCAGCCACGTGGGAGTCCAGCACATTATTTGCCATGCCACCTGCTGACATCGAGAATTGGCTTTTAAAAAATGCATAATTACTGGTCTAACTGGTGGCATAGTGGTTAAGGCAGCTGGATCCTATATGGCTGACAGCACGTTCCAAGCCCTAGACCCGGCTACTTGAGAAACACGTGTGTGTGTGCCCCATAGTCAGAGGAGAATAGAAGATAGGTGATTGCAGTGTGCCCATTCCCCATAAGGGGTATTCTCTTGTTTTCTCTCTCTAGCAAACTCATGTGCCTTGTGTCCCTACCCCCCCCTCCAAAAAAAAGATGAGTACTTTTTCTGTTCTGTGTATTATAGTTTATTTGTTAAATAATCCAACATTACACCTGTCTTAACCATGTTCATAATTAGCATAAAGTCTACCTATTTGTTTAAACTTATTGTAATGTATCTTTTTGATTTACCTATTACTCATACTAGTAATATAAGGTTGCTTCTATTAAATCTGTGTTTTTCCCATTTATTTTTGCCTGGTTTTTCTGTCTTTTTTTTTTTTTTAAAGTGTATTTCCCTTATGAAAAAGAATGTGAAATAAAAATAGAGGCATCCTTAACAGGGTTTTCTCACCCTCTTCTCCCAGTCCTCTAGCTAGTCTTGAGTTTTAGGTGTGCTCATCTGGTGGGTTTCAGGGTTTAGGGACCAAAACCTGTGATCTCTCATGTAGCTTCCAACATTATAGATCAAAATGCTACCACCTGCACACCACTATTAGACCTTTAATTTTTTCTGAAAGAATTTAGGGTAGGGAACTTGAAATATTTTTTGATGTTCTATTGTCTTTTTTTTTTGTTGTTAGTGGGCACATGTGCTCATTAGAGAGAGTGAGAGAGCACGAATGAGCGAGTGAGTACCCTCTATAGGGAGAGATCACGCCACAATTTTTTCTCCATCTCGCTCCTTTCAGGATCTTGGGCATGCATGCACGTGCACCCAGCATGTTTCTCTAGCTGCCAGGACTGGGACTTGAACTGCATGGTCTGCGTTACTGGATCCAGCTGCCTTAACCACCAGGTTAAGGAGCAGCCCTCTTTTTTTTTTTTTTAATTGTCAGAGGGAACATGCACTTACCAGAGAGGTGAGGAGAAGAGAGAAAGCTCCCCTTCAATGATGTGTGTTCACACTGCAATCCCTTCTCCATTTCTCTATCCTGTTGGGATTTCAGGCATGTTTACACACTTGCCGGGTGTGCTTTTCAAGCTGCCAGGACTGAGTTTCAACTGTGGTCAGCTAGGTGGGATCCAGTTCCCTTAACCACTAGATTATGAGGCCAGTCTTTGTTCTTTTTCTTTTTAAAGCATTTAAGCTAACCATGCCAGGTGCTTCATTTTAGTTGGTATATATATAGAAACTATCTCAGACTTGTTTATTGTGATTACTGTGGTTCCTAAAAATCACTAGGTCTGGTGTTTATTTTACTTATTAATTCGAATGCATAAGTAACCTTAAAAAATAGTAGAGCATCCAATGGCATGGTGGTTAAAGCAACTAGATCGCACATGACTGACTGCATGGTTTGAGTCCTGTACCCAGCAGCTTGATAAATATGTTGGGCAAATGCATGTGCTTGCCTAACATTCTGATGGGAGAAAAATGGAGGAGAAAGGATTACAGTATGACCATGCCCCATGGTGGGTGCTTGCACTCTCTTCTTTCTGGTGAGCACACATATGTTCTGGCAAATTAAGAAAACACACATAATATAATCCTGAATGATTACAGTAATAAATAATTACAGAAAGAAAACAGTTTCATTTTGACCTTTTCTCACTTTTTTTCTTTTAATAGAGAAGAAGTCCGTGCTCCAATTCCTCAGAAGCAGGAAATATTGGTGGAACCAGAACCATTGTTTGGTGGTAAGTTTTTTTTTTTTTTCCCTTAGCTTTATTTGATATACTTTATTTCACTTAGCTTTATTTTATATGCTTGTTGTCTTTAGGATTTTAATGGAACTGTCAAAAGGTGTGAAGCCTTGTCCAGAGATTATTACTTAAAATATAGTCAGTTTTATCTTGTCTTTCTATACTTCTGTCAGAAAAGTTGCACAATTGGTTCACAGAGTGAAGCAAATTAAAAACTGATACTTGTTGCAAAAGGCCAAAGGAGAAAAGTTAGCAGGATTGCTACCTGTAATGGAAACTAATCTATCATTAGATAAAAGGCTCACTATTTTTTTTCTTATACCTGTTTGATGTTATAATCTTATCTTGATTTCTAGAAGTGCTGTTTCTATTTTGAACAAAGGAGAAAATGATCCTAACCCATGTAAAAAAAACACTTTATATTAACAAACTGGGTGCATAGAGAGGGTAGAAAATGGAACATTTAATTAAACTAAGAAAAAAAAATTAGTTAGTTTAATAAGCTCTTATTTCCCTTTTATGAGCCAATATATTTTAGCCATTAGTGAGATTATTTAAGAAAATAGAAGGTCAATCTTATGGCCTAGTGTTAAGTGGCTGTGCATTAAGAGCTGGATCCTGCATGGCTGATATGGTTTGAATCTTCGGTCTTGTAGCTTGAGAAACACTCCAGGTGCATGTATGTACATGCCCCAAATCCTGACAGGATAGAGAAATGGAGGAGGAAGGTTGCAGTCTTATCATGCCCCATTGAGTGTTGCTTCCTTCCTTTCTCTCTTTCTCATGAACATATGTGCCCTTTGGCATTAAAAAAAAAAAATCAAAAGTGGAGTTATGTTCTGTGGTTCCTAAAAATCACTAGATGTGAGACACAGAGAAATATGTGTTGTGTATATTGAAAATAATAATGAAGAACCATCATTTGTTTAAAATTGAGAACAAGAGACTTGTATGAGGGGATTTCAGAAAGTTCATGCGTGCCAGCCAAAGTTCTCGTGGTAAGGGCAACTGTATCCCACTTAAACTCATGGTTTGAGTCCCAGAACCTTTGGCATGGAAAACACCTGGTACATGTATGTGTGTGCCCAAAATTCCCAAAGGAGAAACAGAGGAGAAGAGATTGGGGCATGTGACCATCCCTTATAGGGGGAGTTTTCTCACTTTTTTTCCCTCTGGAGAGCACATGTACCCTCAGGCAACAACAACAATAAATTCTTGGAAAAATGCAATTCAAATATTAATCTCTTGGAACCAGTCTCTCTTAGTGCAAAAAAGTTTAGAAATTTGTGTATAATTTTTTCATAATACTCATTTCTGTAAACTCTCTGAAGACTTGTATAAAGTTTTATTGGTAAACTAGGATAGAGGAAAAGAAATAAGTCATAAGAAAAGGATGAAGAAAATTATGTCAAGCCATATCTTTTGATTAAAAAAAAGGAAAAAACACTAAACACCGTAAGGGCTAGGTGGTGGTAGAGTAGGAACATAATTATACCCACATAGGAAAGGTCCTGAAATCATGTCCAGGGACCTCCCTGAGCAAGCTGGGCACAAATGGGCACCAGAGATCCAGATAGGGATCTCTATCCCTGAGATTTGGGATAGATTACAGTTGTGAGGACCCTTTTAGGGGTGCCTGTTTCTACCTTCCTTTTTATCTTGTTCTTTCATCAGAGACATAAATAAACTTAATAAAATTTAAAAAGTAGTTGAGAGTTTTTATAAGATAGATCTTTAATTTGACAGCTTTGGAGTTCTGTAGCAAGAAATGAAAGAATATGCTATCCAGATTCAGAAATAAAGGTAAGAGGAAAGCTATGAGGTTTCAATACTGTGATGCAATTCTATGCTTTTTGAACTGTTTAATTTAGCCAGTTATTATGCTGTTAATATATCAGATGCAATAAAGCATTGTTCATGATCTATTTTCATATATAAATGGTATGATTACATTTTTGAGCTAAAAAGCAATACCCTTGGAAGCTTTGTCTTCCCTTATTACTTGTAATAAGGGAACATTATCAATTTAAAAATCTTCAAGGTTTAATTTGACTAGAGAGAGACAAAGAGAAATAGGAAGGAAAAAATGAGAAAGCAAGCCCCAGGTCCAGGACTTGAACTGCAGTTGGTTATATGGGAGTCCAATGTCTTTTTTTCTTTGAGAAATTTTTGCTATGGGGTGCTTGCACTCACTGGGACAGAAAGTGAGAAATCACCCCCTGGGGGAATGACCACGCTGCAATTCCTTCTCCTCCATTCTCCTCTCAGGATTTTGGGCGCACACACACCCAGTGTGAGTTTCAAGCCACCAGGTCTGGGACTTGCACCGTGGTCGACTATGTGGGAGTCCACTGACACTACCATTGCACCATCTGCTAGTCCTTGGAGTCCAATGTCTTAACCACCATGCCACTGGCCAGCCTCATAATTAAACTTTTTTTTTTTAGATTTTTGTCAAAGGCATGTATGTTTGGGAGAGGGGGTGGGAACACAATCACGCTGCAGTTCTTCTCTTACATTGTCCTCTTGGGATTTTTGGTGTGCATGCACACCTTCCCATTGTATTTCCCAAGTTGCTGGGTACAGAGACTTAAACTGCAGTCCGTCATGTAGGATCCAGGGCCTTTGGCCCCAGAACTGTCTTTTTAAACAAATTTGATCAGGTCTTTTCTCTGGGCCTTAATTTTCTCATTTGTAAAGCAAGATGGTCTTAAGGTACTTGGATTAATTAAATATGAATGACTTAAAAGTTAATTTTTTTTTTTTTAGTGGTTAGGGCACCATTATGAATCTATGAGTGTTTTCAAACAAATACTTAAAGGTCAGCAAGTTTTTGTATTAAGTTTCAAAATTAATGTTTAAATTTTTGGATCAATCTCTCTTTTTCTCCTAAAGCTCCTAAAAGACGACGGCCTGCACGTTCGATATTTGATGGTTTCCGAGATTTTCAAACTGAAACTAGTAGGTATCTATGGACCATTTTATCAA